GCACTCATTGAAATACTCGGAAATGTAAAATTTCAACCCTGTTGTGTTATTGGTGGATGTAAGAGGATATTTTTTTTTTTCCTTTCTGACTTTTTAAAAAAAAAGTTTCAGATTTAGGCTGTAAATCAAAGTCAGAGCAGTTACCATGTGTGATTCCTCGCCCACCTCGGGTATAAAAAAAGATATATAGATGAAGGAAATAATCACTCTGGCTCACTCATGATTGGTCAGAGGCTATAGTGACTGTGTTGTGATGTAGCCTGACCTTCATTGATTGGCAGAAGGAAGTCACGTGACTCTGCCCTCCCACCATTGTTAATGCCTGCAGAAGTTACCATATATGGTTCCTTGCCCGATAAAGGGTTAAAAGATATGTAGGGAAGTTTAAAAATATTAGTTTGTTCTTTTATACTGACCCTACTGATAGAAGTTAAAGGTTTTGTTCTCTGAATGCTTTTGACTGCTGCGGCTGTTTTCTGTTTTGTGTGGCCTTAATCTGCTAATAACTGTCTTTAACTGCTAATTATCATTTTCCCTTATAGATTGAAAATGACGACAAATTTGTATTTCAGGTGACTGTGGAGAACTTCCTGCGAGTTTTGACTGGACGACTGCCTCCCAGCACTCCACGCTCCAAACGCCTCCTCTCTGACGACAGAAGCAACATCCTCATATACCTCACAGGTGCATATTTAGAATCGTAATCAGATTTCTGCGTCTACAATACAGTTTTCATACTGGCTTTCACTTTCAACAACGCACGGGGAAAGATTGTCCTTTTGGCTTTTTAGTTTTTCTGTGTAAATGAAGATCCCAGCAAGGTTTCCACCAGAAAATGATGTAGCCTCAGGCGGAAAAGCAACGACTGCATCTTGTCTCGTCATCATTTAGTTTGCACAGGATAGCCTCAGCAGCAGCCGGTCTCATTATACACACTCCTGGCAGATATTGTGTGAAATGACACCTTTGCTCTTTTGGCTTAAAGGTTAATGTTTCATTTAATTAAAGTTAATTCGCTTTTACGATGGTGGCAAAGGTGGTCTTTGTTTCTTCACTAAGAAACACTGCAGGAATCTCTTCTTCTTCTCCTGGTGGAGAAAACGTGACTGTTGTACGGGCGAATGATGTGCATATACACAAAGAGCTGCATATACATGAATGCGTTGCGTGAACAGAAATGCGCTGCAAAAAGAAAACGCTGCATATCCAGTCACACAACAGAAGTGCCACAGGCCTCTCGGGGCAGTTTGTAAGTCTTTAGCTTTTCAGTCACTGTGATTATATGGGTGCTGATGTGATGTTTTACTACCGTCTCCCTGTGTTCTTCTCATTTGTTTTCATTTAAGCAGCGTTGTCCTTTTGCAGCACGTTTCTGATTATGCAACACATTCATGTATATGCAGCTCGTTTGTGCACATGCACGTCATTTGTCCCCCGTCAGCCACCGTACTTAAGCTATTGATGGATTATTTTGCTGCTTGTAGCTGCATTTGGAAAATAGCATCTTGACATGACTTCTGCTTTGTCTGAGCTTGTTCAGGAGTAAAATTATAAAGAAACTGAGAGTAGCATGATGTTTCGTCTAATGTGGATTTTGTTTTCACAAGGACGTTTTTCCAGACAGCCACATCGAGGGAAATATAAATTGAACACAGGCCGTTAGCTACCACGTACTTATACTAAGCAGTTCAGTTAAAATGTCTTCATCCAACTCTTTCGTTATCTTCTTTGTCTCCGTCGCTCTTCTTCCCCATTTTTGTGTTCTATTTCATATTTTTGCATCGTGAATCAAAGAGGAATGAATTATTAATAGTGTGTGCTTGTTTAACAGGCCACGGCGGGAACGGCTTTCTGAAGTTCCAGGACTCGGAGGAGATCAGCAATGTGGAGCTGGCTGACGCTTTTGAACAGATGTGGCAGAAAAGAAGGTAAACAAACTGGGACGACTCACGAAACAGGAACGGCCTCACAAAGTGACATCTGATATTATCGCCGTCCTACTTCAAGTCCGCTGCTCTTGTCCTTCGTTCCTCTGAGGGCCAATTAGCCGTGTAGCCCGTCAACAAACATTTAATGGCGGGAAACTTAACAGCATATAGACGGGAAGATCTTCAGCTGGAGGTTCTTACATGTTGCTGTTTTATTGGCACAGACGTCTAATATTAGAGGATGTGATCTTGACGGGATGCTGTTTTTGCATGATGAAGGAATGTGCTGTGTATCCTGTGCCTCTTACGGTGGTTGCCTGCTTCTGTATTGTTTGGCTAAAAAGTCTAAATCAGTCGACTCTGATGGAGAAGGTGGAATAGAGAGAAAAGGGATCTTGCCAGGAGAAATTAAATCGTAATGCCAAGCAACAATATTTGGATAACATCGATCCGTATGACTTGGCGGCCCAAAACTGAATTATAGACCCACTAATATTGCAAACTACCTTGTTTTAGGACTGAGTGCATCAACGTGGGCGAGTTTAAAGGTTACAAGTCTCCAGAAGCTCACAAGTGATCAAATCCAGTGCCTGTGAATTAATAAAATAATCATATAGCTGAAGGTTTTTGTTATTTGATTTAATGTTCAGGGCAAAAAGTGCAGTGACACCTTGTATGTTTGTGGCTCCTGCAGTTTGCCAAGCTTGTAAATTAATAGATTGAGCGCACAGTCACAGCAAAACTGCTCATGAGCTTCCAGTGATGAATTAAGGTTTATAATCCAGTCTTTGCCTGCCAAGTCATTTGGATCTAGACTGTTTATCATACTCAGTTTGTCTACATATTACTGCTTGGCATGGCGATTCAGTTTCTCCAGGCGGGGTCGTTTCCTTTACCAAAGACCAGAAAAGTTGTCATGTTTCTTCCTCAGCAGTCATATTTTGTATTAAACTATGTTCTCTGTGGTATATAGAGCTTGATAACAAAGTAAATAATAAAAATCAGTTTAAATGTGATATTCATACACCATAACAGCGAAGGGGTTTACCGTTAAAGAGACCGTCCCTTTCAGTAAATGGAAATGTGTTGCTTTTTAAAGTAGTGCCGTGCTAAATTTGTAAATGATGACACAGTAAATGAGCTAGCACCTTTCTGCTACGAGTGCCTCTATTGTCCTCCAAACCAATCATCATCAATGTCTGGGCTGCAGTCAGGCTCCGGGCCGCGAGATAAAAGCTTAGTGACGCCAGCTTTGATGATGATGTGATAATTACGGGCTTGAACTGCCAAATTACAGCCACTGAAGAGATTTTGCCACCTCCTGTCATCATCCCCAAACCACCTCGATTCAGTCGGCTGGATACAAAAAGCCTTTTGCGTGTTTGTCTAAGCAGGGGAAAGAAGTTGTTGTAGTGAAATTTGCCTTTATAGAGGAAAGAATGGGAGGATGTAGGGGAAGAGGGGGGGAGATGTGTGCGTGGGAGCGTTCGCGGGACTGAATGGGAGCTGTTGGTTTTTCTTGGTCGCCATGACAACTGCAGTATGAAAGATGGTTAGAAGGTTTTTCCTGATACCAGTTTATTGGAACAAATGGACGAGGGTTATGCCAGCTGTGTGTTCTCTCATCAGTATTATTTGAGAATCTGTATTATCGTGTGTTTGTCTTCAGGTACAACGAGCTGCTCTTCATCATTGACACCTGTCAGGGCGCCTCCATGTACGAGAGATTTTACTCCCCGAACCTCATGGCCTTAGCCAGCAGTCAGGTTGGAGAAGACTCCCTGTCGGTGAGTTGTTCTCCCTCATATGCAAGAGATGAATTAAAAACCATCCATCAGCGTGTCAGGTTGTGTAATGAGCTGTTTGATTTGATGGCACACTGAAGGCCCAGCTGGAGGAGCGCTGTTGTCATACATGCTCGCATCATGCAGCCCATGTTCCTCCACATAGTGTTGCATGTTGTAGTTGCATCAGTTAATCCTCCTCCTAAACTCATTCTCTCCTGTTGCATTAGAATGCAAACATTCAACTGAGGTGAGTTTCTACGAAAAGCAGCCAAACTGATTTAGGTCATAATGAAATTACAGTTATGTAAGAGTTGTGTTTGCTTTATTACATTAATAACATCAAGACTATGTAGCTCTGCACTGCAACACTCTGATGTTTTCTCTCTTTATTCATGCTTATGTCTCCATTGGATGGCCCCTTCAAGTAGTTTTGGCTCCCAGTCCAATTTAAGTCATTTAATGTTTAGTATTTAGCATTTTCCTAGAAAAATACACTCTTTAAGTGTTGTAGATTAGCTGTAGTACCTGATTGCGCCACCAGGGGTGACCTTTCACTGTTTAATGCCGTAGCAACCAGAGGAGGCAGGCACTGTCTTGTCAGCAAGCAGAGTGCATTATGGGAGATTAGCTAGTAAAGGAGCACTGTGACAGAGACTTCTATGAGGCTTATTGACTTTAGGCCTGCAAACAAGTGCGAACAGATTTTGGGTTTGTGTAGGGTAGCAATCTGTGTCCTAGAAAAAAACATCCATTGTTGAGCTTTTGTTCATGTTTGTGTGTAGAAACAGAAGTCAGCAAGGCACTGGGTGTGAGTAGGTGCTGATACTGATCACTTCAAAATGTATGTGATTTGCCCTGATCCAGGTTTCAGGATCAGGCTCGGAACCGATTTATTATCTCTGAAATGGCTCATCAGCTAGTGACAATTCTAACAATTTGTCTTGGACATGCAGCTTTAGCGAATCTTTTAGCATGAAATCCTGTTTTTAGCCATGAAGTGCACATTTCCAGCCACATCAGCTTGTCAAGGTCGCACATTCCTGAACGCTGTGAATATTTCTATTACTTTTATATTTCCTTGGATTTGCTGCACTTACTGTTTGTTTGACTTGTTGTATTTCCTCATTGTCTCTTTAGTAACACTTGCTGTTTGTGGACTTGCATCACTTCTTTTTTGTTTTTCACATCTTTTACAAAAAAAAAGAAAAAAATCTTTCTACATGTTGGTGTTAATTGTTTTGCTCCAAAACAACAAATCCTCATATATGAAAACCTACATGGCAATAAAACTGAATCTGATTTTGATTTATAGGTTTATTTATGCTTTATATTTGTACATAATCACCCCATGATATACAATCTCCTTCTCCAAAAAATGGCATGTCCACTTTATGCAAAATGGAATTCAGGTTTTCTTAACTGCTCTTAATTGGATTTGTGCAAGTTTACACTCCAGCAACCACCGATAATGATACCTGAAATGGTGCCATGTTTTCACTGGTTGGCGTACTGCTTAGTCAAACAGTGTTGTGTTTCCTTATCAGGCAAATAAGTAGCTCCTAACTGCAATAGGAGAACAATGTTGTCTCTTACATGATACCTGATGCAGACTTTTTCTCTTGGACACACAGCTTTAGCTTCAATCTTTTAGCATCATATGTAGCTGCTGAATGCACTTTAAGACTTAATTGTTTTGATTCAGTTTCACTGCTCCCACAGCGTTGTTTTGTGTTAAGCAGCTTTTTCAGTGGAAAAAAAAAACCCCTTTAAAATCCTACGGTATGCTTTATGTGCAGCACAGAAGGGCAGACAGAGTTGGACTGGCTGGTAAACATATCGGCTCATTAGGCAGCTAAAGAGCCAGCTATTTCCCTTGGGACTTGGTAGAGACCGAAGAGAGAGTGAATATTGGACTTAGATTTCCTCGGTCAGGGAATTCACTCGCAAATTTAACTGTTCCTATGTACTAAGTGCTTTTGATTATTCTTATGTTTGTTTTTTTTTTTTTTAACTTGTCCCGTTCTAGCATCAACCGGATTTGGCCATAGGAGTCCATCTAATGGACCGTTACACCTTCTACCTGCTGGAGTTCCTGGAAGACATCCACCCTGCGAGCAAAGCCAACATGAATGATCTGGTAAGGGCTTGTATGTGTGGTTACAGCTTCTACGTGCTCTGAAAAACACCAGAAAATAGAGGAAAGTCGCTGTTTCTCAGAACCAGAGGTGTCCTCTTTATTTTTTTTTTCTGAAATCGAAGGTGTTACATTGATGATAAAAACAACATGTTTTGCATTTTTGCTTGATGTGAATGTCACGTCATATTGTGATCATTACAGTGTGCTGTGCACTAATGTGCATCGACCACTTATAGAAGTCAGTTCATAGTTTACACCCATAAGTTGTACATGACTGTGTTCTGCTGCTTTGTACACAGCTGCCTTTTTTTTTTTTTATTAGTAATTTGTCAAGTTTATGTCACTTTTATATTCGCTACAAGTTTCTCTTTAATTCAATTAAAAGAGAAAAAGCGTAAAGATAATGAAACAATTGGTCAACTACAGAACTAGAGCTGCGATGATTTAATTAGTTGTCAACTATTAAATTCATTGGAAGCTATTTTAATAATTGATTAATTGGGAATAATTTAATAAAAGTCTCAATTCTGAATCCAGCTTCTCAGATTTCAATATTTTTTTGTTTCTTTTTACTTCTCTATGACAGATTAGACTGAATATCTTTGAATTGTGGACAAAACAAAACACTCAGGGAAACATTTGCCGTTTAATAGACCAAACAACTAATTGATTAATCAGGAAAATATTCAACAGTTTAATCAGCAGTTAAAATAACCATTAGTGGGAGCCCTGCAGTCAGCCAGACAAATAGTTCACTGACAAATGAAACAATAAAAATTAATACACAATAATTCTGATAATTGATTCTTTGCTATTAGCTGAAATATTTGTTGCCTTCTGTCTGAGCTCCTTTTTCAGTTTTATGTCATTGCATCATACGAGGAGTTTGTTCAGAAAACCTGTGACAAGCGTTTTGTCACTAGTTTCTGACATTTTGTAGACCACTTAATAAAAAAAACAACAGTCAGATTTGTCATTACAAAATAATTGTGAGTTGCAGAAGTGGAATATAACAAAAAACCCTGCAGGATGCCTTTTTGTAGACTGTGGCAGAGTGACTCAGGTGTTGTACAAGTATTTTGGGTCTACAACAGCAAGGCGGGATCATTCCTTACTGCCTTTCCCCTCCAAAACTTCCTTTTTCCTAAAGGAGTCAGATGAAAGTCACACAGGCCTCGCTGGACTCTTGAACACTTGAAACAGAATTTGTGAGAACCTGTTACGGTTGTTGGCCTTTGACACATGGTGGTGTGGATGGTGCTGCTCTGGGCCATGACTCAGCCTCAGCAGCACCTCCCGTTTCATCTTTACACTCCTGCAGAGATCTACTGGCCACAGGGCCTCATCTGCGTCACCCTAAACACCCCACATCGTCCACTCCGGCTCTCAGTCAATGTCTCTGACCAATTCTAATTATTCTACCCGATTTTCCCGTTTCTGTAGATGCGCTCTTTGTTCTTGAGCTTTTTCATGGAATTAATGATCGATACTATGGATTTCCTGGAAGAGCTCACCAAGTTTTCAGTTTTTAATCCAGGCTGCGAATCCTTGCCCTTTGATGAAATAGAAATTGCCTCCACCTTCTCCACAAAATCCTTTAGCAGTCATGTGTGTCAGGTTCTTTTTGGCTGATAGAGGTAACGTTCACCTCGGTTTAATGATTTTATGTTTCTTTTACAATGGATAGCTCGGTCGGACAACACACTGATGATTCACACACTTAAGAGGATTAACCCACAAGTGGCAACACAGCAAGCACTGAAAGATTTGTAATAGACAATGGCATGCACAAATGTCAGACTCCTGCCTCTAATCTTCTCCCCACAATGTCACATATTTTCACACCTCCCGCTGCAGCTGGCTATGAGCTGCAGTTGGAGTTTGTCTTAAAAACATGAACTATTTACTAGAATCTGTATTAAAATCCCCGATCTCTAGGCAAAAGTGACCATGAAGTGAGTGCATGAGTTAAACTTCCTGACAGCAGGCGACAACTGATGCCTTTTTCTCTATTGATTCATATATTGATTATTTTATTGATTAGTCGAACAGTGGTCTAAATGATTCATTTTCCTCCATAAAACTAAAATGACCGTTTAGGTTTATTCTGAAAAACTATGTAGTTGTGTGAAAACGAAGGTTTATATGCGCAAAACACAAGAACATTATAAAAGCAGAAAAAAAGAGGGGTTGCAATTTCAACAGCACTAGAAATCAGAGTTTCTTTCAAACCCTTTAACAAATTTTATGGACATACAGCTGCATCATCTTTAGCTTCTGTGTATTGTGAGTTTGTCAGACGACGCTGCAGTTATAAAATCGGGATTTTAGCAGCACCTTGGAATGGACTTCTGGTTAACGTGTAGCTTTAATGAGCCATTTTTCTGTCACTATTTCACAGTTGTTCTGTTGTCTGACAATAGAAACAGAAAAATATGTAAATGACAACAGCTTTATTGGGTATTCAGCTGTATTAAACTGACAAGACATGCGAGCACAGAGAGCAGGAGAGAAGTAAACAGATGTAAAGTACCTCCAGGCTGAACAAAGGTGATGCTGCTGCTGCCGCCATTGCTTTAAAACTAGCAATTACATAGGAAAAATAATGACCTAATCCTACTGAAGGTAAAACACATACTATTGAATTGAAGTTAAAAACAAAACAAAACACAAGTTGTTTAATAATGTCCATGATTATGCCGACTACTCATAGCAGCTCTAATACCTACAGTGGTAACATTAATACAAACATTTGATTCTTTTTGTTGAGCTCCATTATTAACTCTTATGGTGTCAAAACCACAAACCTCGAATGAAGCTGCATATTCCTAACATGAAACATGTGTGTGTGTGTTTTCTCTGTTCTTCCCTAGTTCAAAGTGTGTCCCAAGAGTCAGTGTGTGTCCACTCCGGGCCACCGTACCGACTTGTTCCTGAGGGATCCAGGAAGTGTTCTCATCACTGATTTCTTCGGTAGCGTCCGCAAAGTGGAGATCACCACGGACGCCATCAATCTGAGCGACCCCATCAAGGAACTGGAGGAGAAGTACGTCGAGTTTGTTTATTGTCTGTCGTCTGTATAATTCAACTTCAGCTCGCTCAAATGACATTAACTATCATATTATCAATATCACACGAATGGTAGCTTTTGAGGGGAAACCTGTTCAGTCTTCAAACCCTTCAATAAACCACAAATTATATTCTCAAACTTCATAGTTAAAGTAGACCAACTTCACTACATACATGTCAGCTTATACAGAATGTTTGCAAGAGACAGATTTTTTCCCATTTAAACTGCTTCGGGGCATGTATGTAAAATTATACAGAAAAAAAATCACCATATGTGTGGAAAACGTTCAGTCAGCTGGACCGCTACAGCCACTGGCAGATTGTGTTGCTATGAAGCTGACATGCATAACTTCAGTCCTAATTAACCTTTATCAGGGCAAAAGATTCGGGACGTGCAGGCATCATAATCTGTTGCTGATTTTCCCACTGATGTGTATTTCTTTGTGTTCCTTGGACATTGTCACCTAGAGTGTGCAGTGTGTGCATTCTTTGTTTTGACCGGCATCATTGTGGAGTTTTTTCAGACAAAGTGTTAATATTGGATGCATTTCGCTGCCATTTGTTGTTCTAGCAGATTGTTTTTTAACACATTAGATGATGAAAATACACTATTTTGTATTACTGAAGAACTGAGAAACAACATAACATCCCTAAAACAGTAATGATATGGTGATAGAGTTGCAATACAAGTGTTAGCAGTAAGTTAGGGGAAAGTTCTTACAAGCTCTAAAGTGTTATTAAGGTGGATTAGGGACAACCTGATAAATAAGACCTTTATTGAGGTCTACCTCATTGCTGTTGGACAAATTCATTTTATGTTTAGCTCCCAACTACCCGGACTTTGATTTCAGTTTAGAACATCTCTCATCAGCAGAATTGATTTCCTCGCTAATGGTGTGTTGAGTGGCCTGTATCTAAGAGGCTAAAGCACTCAGCGATTCAAGATCTATTTGTAAGGATGACCAATGACAGGATTGTCTGAGGTAATAGTGCAGCTCCTTCAGACTGTATTTGCTGCTTTTTTATCATAATCAGCACTTGAAGCATTATTTCAGAGCGCAGAGAGGATCGTAATTAAACATTATCCTCGTCTGCCTGCAGGCTATAATTCTGTCTCTCTTCATCAGTGTTATTGAGTGAGTGCTTTCTATAGATTATCTGTGGCGCTACCCTGTGGCGAATTGCATGCATCCAGATGTGATTCACTTCTGTCTTACGTCGCTGTGATAAACAGTCTTGGCCACTAGATGGCTGCAGAGAACCGTCGAGCGTTTCCTCTGAGCCTGGCGACACATTGTTTGCTTTCTCACAAAGACACACTAATCCCATAAGAAGCACAATCACCGGGAGTTTTAGGAAACACGCAGCTAATGTGCTAAATGCAAACAAGTCCTGCATACATTGACTCATTAGGCTGCAGGTAAGGACTAGTTTGCTGCACTTCACCCAAAGAAGTGTTGGAAATTAAAACTTTACTCACGATTAAGCTCCCCCCACTTCTATTAATTTCATTAAACTGGGTTTTAATTGAACCACTGGGAGGTATTAAAGAATCTAATGGGGTTGGCTGCTAATTAGTAATTAGAGGCAATTGCCGTACCGATTTTAGTCACTGGCTGTTTTGGCCTCAGGCAAGTTAGTCGTTGCACACAACTTCCCCTATTACTTTATTATTGATTAGGGCCAGCACATTAGTTCTGCTGATCCTCCATGCAACACAGAAACACCACCACCAGTGTTATTGAGTTGGCTGTTGCCCTAATTCAGTCCTAGAGAGACGTTTTATCTCCATTTCTGATGCAAGAAATGGCAATCCCCTTGATTCATTTGATGTTTTACGGCGCCAAGTTTACTGATGCACCAAAGCAAAAGCAGCGTCGCTCTGCTTTTAAGGATGATAAAAACTGCGATCGTGAAAGTTCTGAGATGTTAGGGAGGGTAACAGCGTTTTCTGTCGGTTCGTATGTCACATCAGAGTGTTTCTTCAGCCTCATTCTGACTTGATTCATAAGATGAGGACAGGAAGGTATTTTCTGAGCTCCTCTTATACCTAGACAGCCTTTTAACCACGAGCAAGCTGTAGCACACAAGAATAATTCTGCTGGAAAAACCACGACCTCATGGCTGTCGTGCTTATCGAATAATTTAAATTCATGTATGTGTATCATTAGCAATATTAAATAACTTCTCATTTAATTATTAGACAGTTGCATCTACGGGGTCTTTAGAAATGTAAACGCTGCTGTTTGTCAGGTGTAAAATGCGACATTGAATTTAAACCATACATTCAATAATCTGTGTTTTTACTTTGTTCCCCTTCATCATCTGACTAAATTTCAGATGGCACTTTTTTTTTTTTTTTTAAGTTTTTTCACAAAACTAAAGCTGTGGGGCCTGGCTGATTAAAATCAGTGACATAAAATGCAGCTCTATGCCGAGATTACCCTTTTAAAATGCAAAGTGCCTCTCTGTACTTAAATTATGGGAAAGATGAGAAAAAGTGCCAAAAAGCAGAAGTTAATTGGGACTGTAATTATTTCTGCAGTATGGGGGGGGGAGGGGGAGAGAACCATCAAACATGTGCCCTGGATGGGATTAAAGTTCTTGTCTGGTCATTGATTTAACCCATGAAGCTCATCTCTGTGTGTGTGAGTTACATGTTTAGAGTTTTTTTTTTCATGAAAACAATCCCTTTGTGCCTTAAGATGGCTTCTGCGTAACTCTACATTGATGCTTCTTCTAGAACATGCAGATCTATGAAGTCCCTGACCCTGTCTCCTCTGATTCTTCCCCATTTGCTGCAGCTCGAACACACCAGCTCACCTATATCTCTGCTCAAATACTGCAGTAGTAGTGGTAGTAGTAGTAGTACCAGTAGTAGTTGTAGTTGTAGTAGTAGTCTCTCTCTAGGTTGTCCTCAGGCGAGCCTTCTATCGTTGCTTCTGGTCGTCCTGATTCTCCATACATCTGGCCAGTTCGTTGGTACTTTGAGCTCCTGTATCCTTCTTGAGTATGTCCACGTATGTTAGTGTGGGACGTCCTCGTGACCGATGCCCATGTGTCGGTTCCCACAGCACCAGTTTGCTGGCTGGCAGCTGTCGATGCCTTTGACAGTGTCCTGCTAGTCTCATTCTCCTTACAGCGATCTTCTCGCTCACCCTTGGTGTTCCCTCATACAGGACCCTGTTGGTCACGTGTGTGCTCGTGCTGATGTTAAGCTCTGCCCGCAACATCCTGGTATAGCACCCATCTAGAGACTTATGTAGGGTTGGCTTCAAGGTCCAGCATTCACTGCCATAGAGGAGAACAGACTCTACTGTTGCGTAGAAGAAGCTGAGTCTGATTTGGTGGGGGAGGTTGGCGTTCCATACGCTGGTCATGCCATTCAGGGCCCTCCATGCCAGTGCCTTCCTCACTTTTAGATCTTGCTCGGTTGAGTTGACCCAGGTACTTGAAGTCCTCGACTTCTTTTTCAGCGCAGTACCTCCTGCTGTTGTCAGAGGTTGATTTTCCGGTGGAACATTGTAGGTGATGACCTCAGTTTTCTTGGCATTTAGCCTGAGGCCAGCCTTGGCGCACTCTAGCTCGACTCTGTTCAGTAGTTCTTGTGCTTGTTCCACATTGTCTGAGAGCCGGCTGATGTCATCCGCATAGTCAAGGTCTGTGAGGAGTACTGCGGGGTGTCGTCTCGACTTTCTTGGTGTTAACTTGAAGCCAAGATCTTGCTCTCGTCCACTGATTGCCTTCCTGAGCGCATAATCCAGGACTATGATGAAGAGGAAGGGGGCTAGTGTGTCCCCTTGCATTACCCCAGACAGGATGTCCTTACTGTTGCCATCTGGGGTCTCCACCTTGGCCTTTGTTCCTGCGTAGTAGTAGTAATTCAGCCATAAAAATTAGAATTGGGAACCAGCTCTGAAGAATAATGATGCTGAAAGCTCCACCCTGCAAGTTGCCAGGATTGGTTGTTTGGGTTTGTGATGTATGAAACCCCAGAAGTCTGAATCTGTATTTCAAAATAGGAATACTCTGACGTTTACTGATTGTTTCGTTCATGATTTGTCTTTCACCATTTAAAAGACACCATGTGGACACGTTACAAGGTTGAACAACTTGATTTTCACCAGCGGGGTTCTTTAAAATCACTTACTTGTAGCAGTAAACAAAATATGAGTAAATCCACTGACAGTTAATATGCAAATGTTTGGCCTTTTCTAAGAAACATTTGAATCTTAGGCTGGTTTCACCTTCTCAAATGTGAGACTTTATGCAGTACTGGTGATGGTTGTAGTGATTTGCAGAAACAATGAACATTTTGCATTCTCACCTAATCTTTTTCACATTGATCAGTTAATTGCACAAAGAACCAGCAGATTATCAGCAAAAATAAAAACAAAAATCTGCCTTTAGTTGTAGCCGTACTGAAAGTAATCATACCACCTCCCCAAAGAGTAATAAATCTCTTGAATTGGCTTTTGTCTAAAACGTCAGAACTGTGTTTGGTTATACCCTTTGTCTGGATTATCCCAAAAAGCAATCAGCAAGAGATGACAAAAAAAACTGGATCTTTATGAGACCTCTGTCCAGATGCCACTGCTGAAGTTAAATAATAGCGTTTCATAAGATCTGGAAATGGGTTGTAGTGAGCTCGGCGTGTTCGCACAGAGCCACAATCGCACAAGTCCTCTGAAACAAGCTGTTATTAAATATAGTGCTGTTTTAATCCACTTTTGTCAGCTCGCTCAGCCACTCAGACAAGTGAAGGAGAACAGTTAGTGGCGACTGTACATGCCCGTCCTTTACTCGTTTTCTAGCTCGCTCTGCTCTCTCATTTTTCTTGCATATTTTCAAGCATCCGTTTTTACCTCAGAAAAAAGGCTCTTCCGTTAAGTGAATAGCTCTTGATGGAGAGGACATTTTAATGGACCCCCTCAGTCCGCTTCATTATACATGGGCTTAACGCTGTAATGACATTGTGCAGTTACTCACTTCCAGCCATAGGTGGTTGTTGACCGTAACATGTCGTCCTGCGGCGCACGCGGCTCAGAATAATTACAACTATCAAATTAAAGCTGAATTTATATCCCATTGAGTTAGAAAGTAAACCTAATGTAATTTGTGACCTGCAGCGCCGGATTGAGTCTACAAAAACTGCCTGGGCTATTAGTCGAGCAGATGTTAAAAGGAAATTTGTTTGACCTAAAGATGGCAGCTGGAGACAGCAGTGATACCAGAGCTGGAGGAGGAGGGGGAGCTGCATCCATTAGAATCAGCTAAGTGGATTGAAAAATCCTCTCCAAAAATCTCCTTTATGGAAAATAAAGTGGAAAGTGGTTTGAATTGAATTAGAGCTCATCTCTTGTGCTAAGTTAAAAAAAAAAGGAGGAGGAGGAGGAGGCGCATGGCGGTGAGACGTCGCTGCTCTTAGTGACACGTCTCTGGTGGCAGAAAAGAGCTGGAAGCGCATAGAAAGCTCAGCGGGAGTTCGTCTCTCTCTGCTCGCCAGCCCGTCCTGCTTTCTCCCGACTGTCAGAGTGACTTCTGCCCCGCCGCACAGACGTGTCGACGAGAAGAGAGCGTGTCAAAGAAATGGAGTCGAATAGAAAGGGATGAAGAAGGAAGGGCGAGAGAGCGAGATCCAGAGAGGAAAAAATGTGGAGCAAGAGTAACTCGGAGTGAAGAAAGAGACAAAGAGAAGAAAGGGAGCAGGTTGCTTCACTCAGCAAGTGGCTCACGGGGGGATACGGCCCACTTTGTCAGCTGCTGTCTGGCCTGAACTTTCTTTGAAAGGCAGTCACTCACTTGAACCTCCACTCGACTCTGACCTTTAGCTGGGACTCCTCTCTGTTTCGGAGCGTGATGAAGCAGACAGTCTTTCACAATACGATCTACATGGACGCATACAAACATTTCAAACCTCCTCTGATGGATCCAAATAATTCTAACAGGGTTTGAAATGTTTTGTGTTACAGCAGTCTGGATTTGTGCTTTTCTTTTTTTTGCCACTTGTAAAGCCCTTTTCAGACATGGGTAGTTTCATTAATTTCTTAATCATCTAAACCCTAAAACCCACCAATAAGCTTAAAGGAGATGTTATCTTTAAAGCAAACATGACGAAATCACACTTTTTTATGAGAGCCAGAAACAGTAAAAACAGGAAGAATAGCTGGATTTTTCCTGATGGTCATCAAACTATTCACCTGTGACGTGCTGTTCTGTCAGAAGGCTTCACCAAATCCAAGATTAAGCTGGTGTAAGTGTATTCTACATCAGCGGTCTTCAACCTTTTTTGCACCATGGACCGGTTTTAAGCAAGAAATTTTTCTACGGACCAGTCATTGCGCACCTAACAAATAATAATTGTTTTTTTTTCTATTAAAAAGTTTCATAAATAGATAAAATTACTTTTTATTGCTTAACATGTTTACTTTTTCTCTGTCTCAGTATCAAGTATCTCCCACTTTCCAAAGCAGCTCTCCTGAGATGTTTGTTTTTGACTGACAGCTTCGTTTAGCAGCCGGGCATAAAAACTGACAGTCAAGTGCGGAAAACGAACGAAAACGGAAGTGACAGGAAGACGAGCTAGTCATGTTTCAAAATAAAACACCCTGCAGACTCCGCTGGAAATAAAAATAAACCAATAAAACGTCTTTAATCTATCTGTGCGGCCCGGTACCAAATGACCCACGGCCCGGTACCGGTCCGCGGCCCGGTGGTTGGGGACCGCTGTTCTACATGGCTCGTTTAAACAGTTTGAAAAATTTGCATTTGCGCAAACTGGATTCTGTAAAAATCTAACAACTCCGGTGCTACTCAGTGCTGCTGTTAAGCCATTAGTGACTCAACTGCAACCAACAGTCAGGGAGGCATTTTTTACATGGAAATTCCAGGTTTATTCAATTTCTGTCAAATTCATAGTCAAAGAAATTCAGCTTGTGTTTTTATTTTTAATGATTTATGGCATCTTAACCGTGTTATACTATAAGTTTTTTCCTGCTTCTCGTCATGCCTGCGTTGTCTCCGTAGACTTCTTCACGTCTTTATTCAGACAAACCCACCACAGTGATGGAGAGAGCCACAGCGCTCACACAATGTTTGAGTGAGATAAGATTGGACAGTACATCAAGTGAGATAATGCACTAATACCACCCTACATAAACAAAAGACTCAATCCGCCATGTACCAAATAATTTAACTGTAGCTTATAAATTGTGTCTGGGGGAAAACTGTTCCCACATTTCAGCTCCAACACTGGTCCCAGAACATCACAGAGCATAAAAGACACAGCCGTGGGCCAAAATCACAAAGCACCATTTTTATTCACTTTGTCCAACAGTTTCACGTCTATTACAAACTGAAATGTTCATAAAAATAAAACTTTACTGTGACGACGACAGAACAGGTCAGATTAACGAGACTCACCAATAATAAATGTTATCCGGCTTTTGACAGGAGCTGAAATGCAGTTTGTTGCTTCCAGCTGTTTGTAGGAGACTTTTCTCTGAATTGATCACATACCTGCAGCATCAGACACATTTGCACAACAGCAGTAACTTAAGTAATAATTATAAATCATCCCCAGTATGGAGGCAGGATCTAATGGCAAGTCACACTGTGAACATTTTAGACATGTGAGCTGGGACAGTTCAATCATTTAGTATTTGGCATCCGTCCCCAGATTCCGTCCATCGCGGATGTTGAGATATTGTTTTTATTTTACTGCTTATAAAGTAGTAGTTAGATTATCATTACACATGGACAGAACTTTCAGTGTTAATGAAATCATAAATGAGCTAGGCTAATAGTTACTTGGACAGTTTGATGAGCAGTTTAGATTCAGTCTTTTGCTTGCTCTTCCATTATGATGCAGTAACGCTCCATCACTTGATGATGCTGCGACTTTCTCTGGACGAAACTTTGAGGAACATAAACAGAACAGTGACCGATGACAGAATGCTGTCACTTTATAACAAATTGGTAATGCAGTAATGTGACAAATCCCTTGTGTGAATAGGAAGAAGCTAGAAAACATGCTGTCCTGAAGGTGATGCTGCTGTTTTCCAGTGTCATAGTTAATTCCTAACTGACGGATGAAGACGATGCTACCACTGGAAAGAATTGCTGTAATTAAGTGGAATAAATCAGCCAATAGTAGCCAGGGTGGGACGTTTTTCTACATTGTACATTGCATATATGTGACCGTAGGCTATATCCGAGATACAACCCGAATTACGTTAACATCCATCCATTATCTATACACCGTTTAATCATCACTGGGGTCGCGGGGGGCTGGAGTCTATCCCAGCCGACTCAGGGTGAAGGCAGGGGACACCCTGGACAGGTCACCAGTCTATCACAGGGCTACACTTGGAGACAGACAACCAAGCACACTCACATTCACACCTACAGACTATTTAGAATCACTAATAAACCTCAATACATGATAAAATATTGATTTTGGGTTTATTACTTGGACTGTTCCATTTCGTTGTTTTCTACATGTAGGTAACTTATGATATTACAGAGCGTAATAATATTACCTTCAGCGTGAATGAGCGGTAACACCAGAAAGAAGCCGTGGAAATCAGCTGTGCGCAGGCGCCGTGAGCAACGTCCCATCGCCAGCCAATCCTGTTCCATGATTTACGTCATGTGGTAGCAACACGCCGCTTTTGTTTACACATAATAGCCCAAAGCGCAATGCGACAGATCTCGTACAGATGGGTCACATATGTACACGTATACTTTGTGATGAGAAAAATCTATGCAATGTACAATAATGGATAAGTCAGTTTATCATAACACATTTAAAATCAAAATTAATGTTGGCCAGACTGCTTTCCAGAAAGATTCATTAGAATGGCCGAATAAAAACCTGACATGAATACGAGATTATAAGTTTAAAAAAAATACATTTACAGTACAGCATTGACCAGAAAACGAGTGAATAAATGTCTTTATGATACCTCTGGAAGTCTGTTTCTCTTTATGCTCTTACTAACAGGAGAGATTTTACCACAGTTTTTGTGAATTTATGTTAAAGTCAGAAAGCCTCACCTTCAAAGTTTGGATTTCTTTTGTGTGTAACCTGGCAAAGAGCAAACGAGAGACGTGCAGCGAGAGCACTGGTGGGTGTTTGCAAAATCTTAGCAAATGAGATGCCACGAGATGTTGGTGTGTAGCATCAAAAACAAAAATCGGCAACAAATGCGAAGCCAGCCCCACGTGAGCACTGAAGTTGACTCTAAAGCTCCCTCTAACTTTCATTGATTGCTGCATTGATGTTCACTCGGGCTTTAGAAAAACTTTTTCAGAGTGCACTGTGGATAGTACGGGGGGCTCAGGAGTTTTGAGCTCTTCTAACACCTCTGAAAATCCTTCAGTAAAAAGGTGGTGAGTGGGTTGCTCAAAGGAGACTTTTTATGTGGTGTATCACTTAACAAATTATATTTTTTGTGTTTTGTTTTTTTTCCCGTTCGTCTTGGCCTGCAGAGTTTGGTAGGGATTCATTCCAATCACTTCTGTTCTTATCAGGAGGATTTTGACTCTGCTAGGTGTTTCAGGCTGATTTTTATTAGAAAAAAAAAAGGTTTGTTTGCGTCAAATTGCGCTGCATATCATTGACTCGACCCTGAAATGATACGTCAATCACACACACACGCACACCTCGGCTGCACTCACACTGCCAACACAACCACTGTTCCTCTTCCTGACAGCTTTCTTGATCAGTGAATAATGGTGTTCTGCATAACAAAAGCATAATGTGTCCTGAGTGCAATTTACTTTCTTGGGTAAATGCTAACATAGTGCTGTTTTGTGCATTTTTTTTGTCTTTCAGTTCTGTTAATGGAGAGGTGCAAAAAGAGACGTACTCATACGTGGACCAGCTGCCGGTTTCTGAGATCATCCATCAGGTAAGAGAACCACACAAACTCCTCGGTCAGCCGGGGACACTCAAAACCGCATTATCAGGCCCGTGTTGATGGATACTTTTAGCATGGATTTTGTTTTTCGATGGAGTTTTTCGAGTTTGTCATCTTTTCTGCTATCGAGTAGGCAGACGTTCAATTCTGGCTCCTGTGCTTTTTATTTTTTTTTATTTTTTTCATTATTTGAAGTGTGTCCACGCTCGTCCTTAATTTGGACCCAGAACAGAAAGTTATGTGCAACATCCACCAACAGATGTCTTTGTGCTGTTTCCATGGTGACAGCTCCAAGTGTGAAATGCAACTGCCTCCTGGTCTCGGTGTGGAGGGGCCACCGTGAAATCCAGCAGAATGGATAGGCAGGATTGTGGCGAAGAATTGTGTATTCACCTCATTCCCAAATGGATTGTGGCTTTCAGTCGGGTCGACCTTCACAAATGAACACCTCTTCCTCCTCAATCCACCTTTAGAATGTGCGCTCTGCATTCGAAATAGCCAGTCTTTGGTCCCGTATCACTCTTGTAAGATTTTCCATTATGAACCTATTAAAAGTACAATTTCTATACTTCCACTTCAACTTGTGCCTCAGAAAAGTAAAGAAGCCACTTTAATCTTTGCCACAGGCAGGAGCAGACATTATTAGTGCTTGCTTTTGGGGTTCAGCCGTTTCAGAGCAGCTCCTGCTTAAAAATACAGAGAGTGGACATGGTGCTATGAACATGTCCACAGTGTTGTGTTGGTTTAACCCTTGGAGCCCGATGGACCCACTTTGCGTGCAAATTCTCATTGCTTTCTTCTCGGGTGAATTGCTCAGAAGATCTTTATTATCACAATAAATGAAACTGCCAGCTTGACCTTTCCAGCGATGTTAGTTTTATGTTTGTGCTACCGAGTGTTGCTGAGGAAAAGAATATGTTGACATTACATCAAAGTTAATCATCGTTACAGGTCTGCGCCCATCTCCACACCCATTACTTTAGCTTTAATCACTCAGAAGCTCATCATCGATTACAGTTAGATTAGTTAACATCTATGTAATACAGTCACTGCACAGACGTCAACATATCTATGCAAACGTTTTGTCGGGTTTCCTCCACGGTATGTAAACACTTTAATGAATAATATGTTTATTAGGCACTAAGTCATACAGTAGCCCTCCATCACGGTTCTGTTATTTGCAGATTCCAGACAATCTCCCCTACACAATTATAAACACCGATCTGCTGGCTGACTTGGCTGACCGCTGCTTACCTTGTAGATGGATGGCAAACACAATGTTCCTCCAGGCATTACTCATTCATTGCTGTATCATTCATGGCTTCATCAATCTGCTCAAGTTGACTATATTCATCAGACATAGGTTCCTTTTCTGTTGATCTTCCTCACGGCTTCGTTCAGACGTGCTCACGACAGTAATGGGGAGTGTTACCGTATAATCGCAATATTCGTCATACATGCAAGACTGGACATCGCAGCAATAAGCCAATATTAAACCAATCATTTATCTGTAAGTTAATAACTGACTCTGCGTCTAGAAGCTCATGTTTGATGTGAAGAAAAGTTCACAGTGCAATTTGCTGTTAGATCCTAATCAATCCTGTCTCCATGTTGGGAAAAATGTACACGTCTGAGATATTTGTGGCGTTGCAACTGCTTGTGTTGTGTGAAAATGTCGAATTTCTCCCTGTCTGGAGACGCTCCTATGAGTCACACCGCCGTCGGATGCTGCAGGTATTTAGTAAACTCGGAGAGAAACCTCTTACAAACAGCTGGACGCAGCAAACTAAACCTCAGTAATCAATTAGTCAAAACCTGGATTACATTCATTATTGTGGAGTCTCATTAATCTGACCGGGTCATCTCCGTCTTCACCACACTGAAGTGCTGCTTATTTTTATGGACGTTTTAAGTCTGAAATTGTAGAGCAAAGATCACAGGAAAGGTGGTTCATGATTTTTGTCACACAAGCTGTGTTTTTAGCCATCTCTAAAGTTGTTGGTGCTTAAATGTGGAAAACAAGTCAAATCATGTCGCTTGTTTGTGCCCATCTTTTAATGAAATGGCATGCAGTTGAGACTTGTGCCGTTTTGAAAGCGATGCAGAAATGTTACTAGATCCAACCTCGTGAGATTGTCGTCGCAGCTTTTACGGTGAAGGCACCAGGAGGCTCGTTCAGACATGAAGCTAACACGTTCAGATGTCGTCACATTAATAGAAAGGAGTTAAAAGGGCTCAAATAAATGCTAATGTGTTCTCTGTCAGCCTAATGTAAAAATAAGTCGCCCATTTTTATACAGATGATAATGTGCCAGTAGTAGTCAGTGGCAGCAGGTTGAAGTATGATCATTTTAAAAAATCCAATTTTTTACTGGATGAGTTTTTCAGGTTGTTCTGCTTTAAGTCAAAAAAAGGCCACTTTGGACTGCAGAGCTGAGACCACCCCGGGGCTACATTAGCAATGCTCGCCTACAGCTTTTCTGAGCGTATTCAAAGCTAAACTGGACTCACCTTGTCATTTTAATGAGCATTCAAGAGTTACATCTCCCATACACTAAGTCTTAGTCATAGGCATGATGTCTAAACTTAATGGGATGTCATCTTGCAATGTCTCCGAGGGATTATGACTTCAAATTAAAACAAAGGCAGGCTGTTTAATATAATTATTTTATTTTTGCTGAGTAAAATGTGACAGCTGAGCAGTTGTTTCTCCCACTTTCACTGCTTAAATACGCATCAAGTAATTTCAGCTGTTGAACTAATGCCAGGTGTCAAATCTGGCTTTAACGCCTGAACAGAGGATCAAAGCAGCAGCAATGTTTTGTGGGGTTTCAGAACAGCGGACACCACCTCCCCAAAAACCGGTAGAACGATACCTTTGCTCTTTTTAATTACTAAACAAACCCAGAGGCGTCAAAATATCATTTGCTGTGGATAGCTTGGGTTAAAATGCTGCTGGGCCTGACTTCAATAACCCCGGTAGAGCTGGCGTTTGATCTGACAATGATGTTTGTCTTCTATGCAGACAGACACTACACTATTGGTGTTGATATCACAGGTCAGATCCAGCTGAACTGAGCAAGTGATTAAAAAAAAAAAAGAAAGAATCTTTGGGTCCTGCTGCTGAAAACATCGCTGGCTGGCATCGACTTTAGTGTGAACAAAGGAGTCACAGTCAGTTGGTCTGGAGAAATGGAGCTGACCACAGGCCTGAGCCCTGTCAGACGCTTATCGAGTGTCGTGATGGGAAACAGGAGGGGTCACCACACCCAGCGGCACTCTGGAAAATTAGCCGAGGACTGCCTCAAAAGCGTGGTAAACACTGGCCGGTTTCTGATCTGCTGCCTGCTGCTCACATAACAGTGCCCCATGAACTGTGTTTGCTTCTGTGTATTGAAAATTACAATCGCGCCATTGACAACTTGCACAGTCCCGCACACAAACACACGCCGTGGAGCCGCCGCTGTCTGCTCCTTGGCTTCACATCTTGGCTGCTTTTTTTTTTTTT